GGGGATGTAGCTCAGTGGTAGAGCATTCGGCTGCAGATCGAGAGGTCTCCGGTTCAAACCCGGATGCTCCCTTCTTCAGGAAAGTGAAGAGAAGTATTTTTTTGAGAAATTCGAAGGCGGGAATGATCTGTCCCATTCTGCATATTTCTAATCGAAGCATATTCGTTTCCGTTCCTACGGAACACAAAGCAAAGGTTTCCTGAAGCAGGTGCATGGCTCACTAGTAGAGTATTCCACTGCAAACCGGGAGGTCCCCGGTTCAAACCCTGGTGGACTGGAGATCTGAAGAACTGGTTCTTCAGGGAAGTGAAGAGAGAAATATTTTTCTGAGAATTTCGAAGGCGGAAATGATTTGTGTCCCGTTCTTTATATTTCTTGACAAAGGATTGTCACATCCGTGACGGGGTGCGCGCTCATTGTAAAAATTTACCCTCATCCTATTTCTCTAACACCCCAAAAGAAGTATAGCTTCAAAAATAGCAGATTTTTTCATCAAAAAAATTAATTAAATACAGTATGTATTTTTAAATATATTATTTTTAAGAGGACACAGTACGATTCAAGACAAAAATCGGTCAAAAAATCAAATCTAATTTTTCTAGCCTACATTATTTATTATATACTTTTCTCTCTCTCTACTCTCTATAACCTCACAAAATTTGAAAACTCTAAACTTAAAAAACGCAGAATTATGATAGATTTTACATTCATTTTTATTCACATCCCTATGGCACAAATCAAAATTTAAACTTACTTATCTGAGAAAGGTAAGATAACTAGTTTGTGTCTTCATTTAAAATGCTAAGGCTTTTTTTCTATTGTGCCTAATGCTTTGATTTTTTTTCCTATTGTTAATACTTCATGTAGCAAAAGCTGGTATGCATTTTTGAATCAAAGCAATACTTATTCTTTAAAAAATAACTGAAGTTAGAATTTGCATATTTTTTAAGGAATTTTCAATAAGGATTCACAAAAAGAAGTATTGTACAAATACCAATCGTGTTATCGCAAATCCCATACCAACTTTTGTCTTTCTTAAGTGGACGTACTTGTAAATCAAATTTCATGTGTGTACGTAAATTTTTGTAGGAGTAGCATTTCAAAATAACTTCGCAAATTTTAAGTTTTTTCCTTAAAAAATTAAATGGCTAACTTTTTATGAAATTTTGAGCACAATATCTGTTTTACTTAGTATACACACATAGGAGACAACCAAAAATTTTTTGAAAATCCTTAAATTAAAATTTTTTGCTTAAATCGTACCATGCCCCCTTAATACATAAATATATTCGTTTAATACCGGACTTTGAACTTCTGTATAATATTTATACTGTATAATAGGTACTTTTTAAAAATACGTAAAAATAATTTAATACATATGTACAATTGTCATTTTATTATATAGTTTCAAATTTAAATGTGTTAGAAAAAAATTTATCTTTTATTTTGGGAGCTTTTTCCCTACACTCTTGATAATTCGAAGTTTTTCATCGGACCCTTCAACTTCGAATTATTGAGAGTGGACTGTATATATAAATGGATGTTTTTTTTTTAAATCGCATCACTCCAACACCGTTCCACCGATGACAATGACAATTGGCAGGTATATGTATTTTTTGTGGAGAAGGTTTTTGTGCTATTCTCTTTGTTGCAGCTCCCCAACAGGAGGTTCTACAGCGTATCAACTTCGGCACTATTCAGTCAATCACCAAGTTGCCAACAGGGTAGCCAAAAATGTCAATTTAGCTCTATCACCAACAATTCACTATGTTTCTATTGAATCGTTATTATAATGCAAGGATGATTGTGTGTGTGTGTGCGATTATTACAAATTTAACATAAAATAAATACAACATAAAGTTATATTAATGTATTACACATCCAGATATAAATTATTTACACTATTTTACGTGTTCATTACACAAAATGTGTAGCAATGTGTACTTTTACTGAGCATAGATCAGCTTAGGTAGGTGCTTTCGAAAATCGACCCACAAGAGAGTTACGGGGCGTTATAAAATTTTAAAAAATCCCTTTTTATCAGCTCTAGATCCACAGACTTTAACAAATAAGGGTTTTTTGTTCAACTGAGATATGCAAAAAGCTGTTTTTTCTTTGTTAAATTTGTAATCCACGTAATTTTAACTCATTAAAAACTTATTTATCCTTCAATCTGTATTGTTTAATTTTTTAATTCACCCTTGCGAAGAACGGGTACACCATCTAATACATAAATTTCCACGTAAATTATAATTTTATTTTCTGGATATTTATTGTCAAGAAGACACGTGAATTTTACCATATTTGTATCAATTCAGTGTAATATAGAACAACTATACTGAATTGAAACAAATATGAATGAATTTCTCAGCCTAAACCTAACACGATAGAACATTTTGTGTGTAGGACTATTAATTTATTTTGCGATGCCTTTTAAACTTCATAAACCGTTTTCAATGCTGATTTAAGATGTTAGAAGTATAAAGTACATTTATCTCGAGAAATCTTTAAAAGCCTTTGAAAGAAATGTCTCTCTTAGAAAATAAATAATTTAAGGTATCCGACTACGTTCGGAACCGTGATTTTGCAAAAGAGTATAAATGGATAATATTTATGATATTTAGTGTCATTTAGATTAGAAAACGTATATAAAATTGTTTTAAGAATATTATTACAATAAAAAACTATTTAAGAACAATATTTTGACAAAAAGTGAGCATAGAATGACCCATTTTCAAAATATTCTCCTTTTATGAAAAATGCTTCTATTGTAATAATATTTTGCCTGTATATAGCTCAGACCTCTGTACAGAGGCTGAACTAGAAATTTTGAAATTATATCCTAGAAGTGGATTTATCCATATCTTACGACTGATTGATTGAATATTAACGTCGCACTGTTCAGCTACAAGAGGGCTTTTGGTGACGGACCACGTAATTTTGAACCATGGTCAAGTGACGTGGACGACACCTGAGCTGGCACCCCCTCTCCTAACTACCACATCAACGGGAGGACGTTTCAGCTCTCGACAGATTTAACGTGCAGCGCTGCCCTACACGGCGGGTCTTTTAGTGGTACTGGGCTCGAGCTCGTGACAAAGCAAGCCACGATCCGATACCTATACCACTCGGCTACCGCGGCCGTTCCATATCTCACGACAACAGAGGGGAGAAATTTTAAGAAAAAAACGCCGATAACACTGGTCAACATGATTTTTGTCTCATGAATACCAATAGTTGTACTTAATGCAGTTTTTTTTATCGTGTTTTCAAATATGTATTCGGAATTTCTCCATCACCATATTTTTTTAATTTTAATTTAAATTAATGTATTTAAATATTTTTTAATAAAGCCCATTTGTCCATTGAAAAAATAAAACTCCTAGAGCATTTTAAATGTGAGGGAAACCACATGAGCTAACTCAAATGGTATCATTGCTACTGTTGTGCAAGTTCAGACATGTACAGACACTTTGGCGCCAGACAAAACAGACAGGCACAGACATGGTCTAGGCCAGTGCTCCGCAACCTTTTTATCGCCGCGGACCGGTCAACGTTTGTTAATTTTACCGCGGCCCGCTGAGGGGGAGGATGTTGATTGTTTATATTTTAGACTGTTTTGATTTAAAAATTTTTAAATTTTAAATTGTATTTAATCGTGACTTCTGAATAAAATATAGCTACACCAAAAAATGAATATAAAGTGATTTAACAAGGAATATTAAGTGATTTTCATAAAAAGTAGCCCAAACCTGAGAAAAATATACCACAGTGAATAAAAGAGAAATAATTTAATGTTTCTTGTGCGGACCGGTAGTATTTGGACCGGGGGTTGCGGAGCACTGGTCTAGACTAGCATGTATTCATTAGAACGATGTCAGTTGTGAGATAGTAGTGAACCAGTAAGCACGTAATTGTGAGTTCTTTGTGTCTGGATTTTTGTATGTTACGTATTTACAAATTTATTTCTTTTAATTTGTTGTTAGTTACAAAATGCATAGAGCTTGTTTAAATCATCTTAACTTTTGTTATATATGTGGTGAAGTGATGCTCAAGTCCCAAAGGCAAAACCTTACTCCTTTAGTAAAAAAGTGTTATGAACTTTATTTTGGGTGTTAAGTGAGGGACCAAACAAGGACCTGGGCCCCACATATCTGTTGTTTATTGTGTAGTAGGCTTTCCACTGCATGGAAGAATGGCATACGCCACATGCCATTTGCTTTCCCTATGATTTAGAAGGAACCCAAAGATCACTCCTCCGACTGTCATTTCTGCTTAGCAAGCATTAAAGGGATTACGGCAAAATCAAAACGTACAGTGGTGTACCCTGACTTGCAATCTGCAATGAGACCAGTTCCACACAGCGAAGAATTTCCCATACCAAAGCCTCCAGAACATGTGACATTAGATGAAGAGAGCTCAGATTAAGATAGAAGTAAGGAAGAAGAAACAGTTTGTAGTGATACAACTTTTGAACCAAGCTGTTCACCTGAGCCTCATTTATTGACTCAAGAAGATCTTAACGATCTCATACGAGATTTAAAGTTATCCAAAAAACAGTCTGAAAGGTTTAGTTCCCGGCTAAAAAGATGGAATCTTCTTCAAAAGAATACAAAGATATGTACTTATCGTAGTCGTCACACACATTCTCAATGTAAAGACTATTTTTCTGAAAAAAATAGCCTAGTGTTTTGTAATGACATTTCTTCTCTTATGGAGACATTTGGTATTGAACATAACCCTATATAGAATGGCGCTTGTTCATTGATTCCTCCAAAGCAAGTTTAAAAGCAATACCTCTGCATAATGGAAATAAATTCTCATCAATACCTGTGGCTCACTCTACTAGTATGAAAGAAACATGAAAACTTTTAATTTATATTGGCAAAGCTTCAATATGCAGAGTATGAATGGAATATTTGTGGTGATTTGAAGGTAATTGCACTTATTCTTGGTCTGCAGCTTAGTTACACAAAGTACTGCTGTTTTTTTTGTGTCTTTGGGATAGTAGGGACAGAAAAAAACCATTACATCAGAAAAGAATGGCCTAAACGCGAATCATTCATTCCTGG